AGAAGGCCATAAAAGCAGTAGAAGAATGGAGTGAGTGGATTGAAATTCATTGAAACACGATTGAAGTAGTCTCGTTTCCCTCATCGACCTGTAAACAATTTATGGAGGATGTCATGAGCATTAGTTATTTATGATGCTTGCTTGCACAAAAATGATTTCCCAAGATCATCGTAGTTGAATGAAGTGGCGAGGAAATAATTTCGCTGCTTATCATTAAATATTCATGTTTTTGATCCATATCAAATCAGGCGAGATTGATTCATATTGCAAATATCACACCACAATAACACAATTTTCATATATTGTTATCACAATGCATAGAGCTTATTCGCTTCATCAACCTTATTCTTTGACACATCTGCTGAAAATATCCCGTCAGCTCGACCATACAGCAGCAATGCATGCCAGATATATTACTCATTCAAACCTTGTCATTCCATCAAATCAAGCGACTATCATGAAAATGTTAATTATTTTATAATCAGTAACACCTGTACGAATAAGTCTTCACTAATAAAATCAAATGGATGATATAAATCTTCTTCTTCTGAAGTAGTTGCACAATTGATCTCAACCTGATAGCTCTCCGCAAATTAACACTGAATATGTCTATGTGGGATATATCTACTTCAGCTTAACACTGAATGATTTGTCTATGTGGACCGTTATCTCACAATCAGTGGATTTTAAGATCGTTGCGGATGGCTTTGGCAACCGAGAGATTTCCAGCAACTACAGGCTGAACATCCTATTAATGGCATTTTCTAAGTATCGTCGCTTTTGTTCAGTGGTCATTGCAATTCGGTTTCCATAATTCTCTACTAAACAGCTTCTTTCAGTTCCAGTTGATTATCACCTATCCAATTCCAGTTCAAGAAAATGTAAGGTGTAGCAATCAAATTCTCGCAATACCCTCAAATGTGGACTCTGCTCAACGAGCGATCAGTTAGTCGCAGATGCAAGTAAGCCGCACGAGCGATGTGGCGAAGCTGCTCTCACCATTATTAACTCAATCTAATCCACTCTATGTGAAACGTAGAAGAAGAGTTTTGCAAGGATAATTACATTTATTTGCATTTGCAGTGGAATGCAAGTTATTATTTCGAGTGGTTTCGATTATTTTAATTGATTCAGCCAGTTATCGGACAAACGGAACGCTGACACTCTCTTAAATTATTTGCAGTTGAATGAATTACGTGTTATTCACATGAAAATTTGAGCGAACTTTTGCATTAGCTGCGTTCGTTAAACGTGAGTTTGCGGAATGGATAAGCCTAGTAATGATAACTTTATTGCAGCGTAAGCGTGGAATCGAGTGGTTTTCCGTTTGTTTTCAGTGGAATATTGTGGAGAAACATTGATATTTAGTCGTTATGGTACTGTTAACGCTAATTGCACGTGTACGAGATGGTCTCATTCTGGCGACGTCAATTGAAGGTGGTGATGAGGTAGGTGGTCGTCTTGTGCTTTCCACAGTCACAAAAGTTGAATCAGCTAGCAGCTGAAAATGNTTTTCATTTCAGGCTGATCACAATATGGTGAAATATACGAATCAGGCAAAAATGATCTTCAGAAAGTTGCATACAGCCACAGTCTCAGCGGCTACTGTCGAGAGTGGGCCATATTATTTTCAGTGGGTTTTCTTCTATTCATTTGTTCCCGTATTTCTTGAATCAATTCACAGGGCGCACCGTTCATAATGAGAGTTCTTCAGAACCTTGAGATCCGTTAAAATATCATGGATACTGGTGAAGTGCATGTACTACTTTATTTTTGAGGTTCAAGAAGCCTCGTTAATGAAAGCGTCATAGAATGTGTATTAGATATATGTCATTATATTTCTTCAATTTTTGCAGCTACGTAATAAAAGGCCCAGTTTGTACGCTGTGTTTATGCGATAAAGATTTTCCACGAAAATCAGCATTCGCCTATTTAGAAGAAGTGACAAATGAATTCAACAGTCAGCATGCACCAAAGATAGATCAAGTCACAAGACCTTACCATTTTATTGAATTCGGTTCGTTTTTCATATTTTTT